CTTGGGCCCTGCACCCACATGGGAGACCAGGAGGAAGTACCTGGCTCCTGGCTTCGGATTGGCACAGCACTGGCCGTAGCAGTCATTTGGGGAGTGAACCAAAGGAAGGAAGACCTTTCTCTCTGTCTCTCTCTCTCTCTTACTGTCTAACTCTGCCTGGCAAAAAAAAAAAAAATAGTATAAGCCAACATACTGAGCTAGGAAGAAATAAGGATGAATAAAGTGTGTAGTAAGGAAACAGGACTAACAAAAGATAGTGTCCATTTGTATGGAGTGAGGAATCAAAGCAATAGATGCCCTGGAGGCTTACTGAAAAATATGTTAAGTAAAATTTAATAGTTTGAGATCTGCAATTTGCAATATAGCTGCTCCTACCAAGCAGTGTATCTCAACCTCTTTGATAAAAACAATGGAAGAAATTTCCAACACTGTGGGTTAGGCACAAGGTACAAAATTAAATCCATTGCCACTTCAGAGTTTGAACTTGTAACTTGAATGTTCATTAGCCTCATCTCTAGAGCTTTTAAAACTCAGCTGGCTCTCACTGCCAGAGTCCTGGTTAAAAAATACTGTGACCAGGCATGAAATTTGTTCCTAATAAGTCTCTAGATGGTGCCAGTTAGTCCAGGAACCATTATTTGAAGCCAATAAGATGAATGGCAAGCAAAGAGGGATCCTATTAGTGCACCTATAAATAGGCCTTATCACACTGAAGCCCACTTATCTCTATGACTATGAATGATGGCAAATGAAAAATAATCATTCAGTTTGAACTTTTAGGTTTGGACTTTCCAGTTGGGTTGGGATCCATATTAAAATTATAGGATCAGAGGCTGGTACTGTGGAGTGGTAGACTAAGCCTCCGCCTGTAGCACTGGCATCCCATATGGGTGCTGGTTGTGTCCCGGTTGCTTCTCCTCTAATCCAGCTCTCTGCTATGGTCTGGGAAAGCAGTAGAAGTACGTGGGCTCCTGCACCAGCATGGAAAAGCCAGAAGAAACTCTTGGCTCCTGGCTTCACATCAGCCCAGCTCCGGCCATTGTGGCCATTTGGGGGAGTGAAGCAGCATATAGATCTCTCTCTGTCTCTCCCTCTTTCTGTAACTCTACCTTTCAAATAAATAAATAAAATCTTAAGAAAAAATGACAGAATCACAGGTAATAACAGGAACAATAAAAGAATAGGTCTTGCAGATAATTTATGTCAAGGATTTATTTTATAGAATACAAAGGTACTTCAAAAACTTCATGGGAAATGGAATGAAAAGTTTATTTTGGTACAAAAAATTTTAAAATCTATGATTAATATTTACATAATATACATTTCACATGAACTTTTGAAGCCCTCTCAGAGTGGAGAAACTGAAAAGCAGAGATCACATGGCTTAAATGCATCTAAATCCTAACAGCAACCCAAGGAGTTCATCCCTCAGAAGGAATCTACCTAAGAAAAATGAGTGATATTTAATATCAAAAAACAAGGTAAACTGCATGTCCCTTGAGTTTTCCAAGCAGCTCAAACATAGCGACAATATGTTCACTATCATCTTTGTAATCATGTCAGTAATGAAATTCTCGTTGAGTGCAGACCATCATTTGCAAGAACAAATGAAAATTAATCAGGATTAAAAATCAATTTTGGCTCTTGAGTAATTGGTCCAAAACTTATTACCATATTACTTCATGCCTTTAAAAGACAAACCATCACACTGTTAATATTTACTATATCTTATTTAAATCTTCTTGTTTTCTAAATTACATGTGGATGAAAACTGATTCAGGTTCAAGTCCTGATCCCTGATTATGGGTAAATGACAACTCAGGGAACAGCTGCAACCAATTGAGTGACATCAAAGCAGAGATGCTTTTAGCTACCTCGGGACTCCTAGGACACTTAGAACTAATTCAGGTATGGTTTCTTATCAGCTGGGTATTAACAGCCTGTAAATAGGTATCTCCATTTAACATAATGGGTTCTGACAGAGTAAAAGCCACCTGGAAAACATTTGCATGTCCTTCTTTAAGGGGTTGTTTAGCTACTTTTTCCCCAAGGGACAACCAATCAACAATACATTATGTTTGCTTGGTAACATGTGGGCTATGCTAGGCTTTTCTTTTGTGTTCTGTTTGTTTTAGATGTGTTCTCTGTGTTCTTCATTTGTCTTTCAACTGTAGAATAAAAAAGGATCTGTTTCCTTGTCCAGTCTCATGTCATATGTAGATAAAAATGAGTTAATCTTTAATGAAGCAGAAAGTGAGTTATATAAAGGGAATTTCCTTCCAGGCTTTACATGATGGCTCTTGTTCATTTTATTGGGTTCATCAACCAAATGGTTATTTATTCATACATCCATCTACTATATATTGAACACAGCTACATGGAAGGCATTTTGACAGATTTGGGTTGATTTTTTTTTCCCTTTCGTAATTACTGGGGAGCATGAAGGGGCAAGCAAAACTGCTCCCACATGGGACACGATTTGAGTACTGTTTTTCCTTTTGTTCTGTTACAATATGATTCTTGCACTCTAGGTTGGTTAATCATTTTACTGAACATGATTACTCATCTATCATTATGAAGTGGTAAAGAATTTAGTCATTTCTTTTTTTTAAAAACCCTAGATGATATGAAATAGTCAATGTCTTAATAAGTTAAAAGCAGCTTTCCAAGCCTGGCTTTCTGAGGTGGTCTTACCCGTTCTTTCCAAACTTATCCTAACCTTGAATGAACCCAGCACTCAAATCAGGCCTGCCTGTGCACTAACCTCAAAGCATGCTGGATCAGGCACACCACTTCTGTGTTTGGCTGCTCTTCTTCAACCTAGAATGAATTTTAGCCCCACAAAGACTTTGAGTCCTTTGAAAAACCAGCTTGAAGTTGAGCTTCCTCCGTTAGGCTCCTTTGATAGCTGTGACAGCCACACTGAGAACTTTCTCTTCACTCCTAGGACACTGATTGTCCTGTGCTTATGCTATTCTATTCTATTCTTATATTTGACACACCAGAGTCTGCCTTATACTATAAATTATTGTTTTATGTGTACCAAAAGTGCTTTGGAGGACAAATTATAGAAAATTTAGCTACTTTTATACAATTATGGAACTAAAAGAATATTAAATGGGCGTGGACATTTAACTTAGGTGTTAAGATGGCAGTTAATGTGGGGAGCAACTCGGACTAGACTAAGTTACTGGAATTAAGACTTATTCTATGCATCTGCTCTCCCACAATATGGCGCTGGGAGAGAAGAAAACAGCTTCTACACAGCTGCCTCCAGTTCAGCCAATAAACTCTAGGACTTGCTCCTGATTGGAGGAGAGCAGAGTGCTCGGCGTGTGGGCAGCTGAGTTAGGATTGGCGGAGGAGGACTATAAAGGAGGAGAGAGACGGCACGCACCAGGAACATCTAAGGGGAACATCTAAGGGGAACACCTGTGCAGCCCCCGAGAGAGCCGGCCGGCGGAGTGCCGCTCCCCTGCGGAAGTGGGGAAAGTGGCCAGGGGGAACCGCCCTTCCACGGAGGTGGAAGGGACAGTAGCCAACCCGGGAAGAACCAGCAGCAAACCTGGGGAGGGCCGAGCAGACGAAAGAACAGCGCAGGGTCCTGTGTCGTTCCTCCACGAAGAGGGGGAGCGACATAATGGTGCCGTGACTCGGATATGAAGCCTAGGCAGGGTTTAGTGTCGTTCCTCCACGAAGATGGGGAGCGACAGTTAAGATGTGCACATCCCACATTTAAGTGCCTGGCTGTAACTCCTGACTCCAGCTTCCTGCTAATGCAGACTCCAGAAAGCAGCACCTTATGGTTCAAGTAAATGAGTTTCTGTCACTTATGTAGGAGACTTAGATTGAGTTACCAGTTAGTTACCGGTTTCAGACCCATCCCAACAATGGCTGTTGTAGGTCTCTGTCTCTCTCTCTCTCTCTCTCTCCCACTCACAAATAAATACATTGCTAAAAATATTTAAAACTATTAAATGGTCATATTTGCATGAATGAGATGATTGGTTTCAGGAATGTTTACAGTAATGATCATTATTAGAGAATTTTGGAAATTATCTCTAGCAGCAAATGTCCATGGAGTCAATTAAAGAAACAAACAAAAAAAAAAAAACCTTGAATTAACAAAATTAGTTGCTAAACAGGTTAACAAAATTTCTGAAGTCATTGCAGTTTAACTGAAAAGGGTTTTTTGGTTAAGAATATGGGAAGTTAAATGATCTTAATGTTACATTATACAGTCTTGCAGTAAACAGTATATTTATTCTTCAAAGAACTTTAGGAATCTTTGCTAATTAATTAACTCATTAATCACTAGCTAAATCAACAAGCTGTAAAGAAGTTTGCAAAGAGAAAAGCAATCTAGAGCTGTGATTGTAGCAATCTAAAAATAACCACATTCTAGAGAATTCACAGAGGAGAGTATTTTCTCCCTGGGTGACACTCTGGGCAGGGGGTTGCATCTGGGGGTTTGGATGGGGGAGTGTTGATCTGGCTTTGGTACTGGACAGAGCACACTGAATACTACCTCCTCTTGCAAAGAGCTCACAGGCCAGCTTTTCACACACTGGATGCCAGGGTTTTCTATTTCATATAGCAGAATGGGAAACAAAGCAAACATTATACACTGCCCTTTATGCTGAAGCACCACGTTGTGCCTCGAGAAACACGTAGGAAGGAGAGCGGAGCAGGGAGGAGCCGAAGAGATGTGGCAAAAGAGCAATTCTCAGTTTTAATAAATGAATCAAATCCTAAATTTAGAGAGAAAATACTCAACTCAGAAGCTGAATATGTCTGACAATTTTAAACCTAGGATAATGGCAACTTAAGAAAATGTAAGCTTAAAAATAAATCAACACTGCCTGATCCTTCAGCCTATATTTTGAAGGGCATCTGTTCAACTGGTTTCTAAGAATCCTGGCATGGAGACAAACAAACAGGGAGGTGTGAGTGGAGGTAGGCAGTCTCATGCTAATGTTCAGTCCCACCAATTTACTCACCCTCAGAGCAATCTTACAATCAATTCCGTATTTCCTGGATAGGTTGACGTCACCCTTCTCATATCACAGTGAAGGACTGAGCCGCCTGCTTTGTGCTCATTAAAATTCTGCAGACCACACTCTGCAGGAGCCTGCCTATTTTCAGGACAGCCATAAGACAAAGCAGTGAGTGTTCTCATCTCTGGAGCCGAGGTGGGGAGCACGGAGAGGAGTCATGTGGGATGAGCGGCACGGAGAGGAGAGCGGGGAGGGAGGGACGCATTAATCTGTTCATGTTTACCAAATTCGAGCAAGAAAATGAAGTGTCAGCCATAGAGGCTAATAAAGCATCTGAATCACAGAAATGAATTCCAGGGTGCTCCAAGAATTCTAACCGGGAGACGCCAGCCTGTAAGGTAGTAACAGACAATTTAATCTGGGAAAATGACTTTCCACCAAGGAAATTGAAAACACCATTCCCAGTCCTTTTCTTATTTTCATTAAGTAGTTTTTCTTCTCCAATCCATTTACAAAGGAAAATACCAGTCACCCATCTTGGTACCATTTGCATAAACATGGAAATAGTACATACAGACACATATTATGGGTGACATGTATGTATGCACACACACACACTTATACACACAAGTGTATGTAAGAGCATGTACATGTTAACACAACCTCTGGTCTGGTCCCAACTGCCACGGTGAAAGTGCTCTCTGAAGGATGGCTCTGAACTTGCCTGGACCTGAGAGAGCTGTACTTGGCTGTGCTCTGAAGGCGGAGGCAGGATGGCTATCCAGGACATTAGAGTTTTATTGAGCTGAGGGAGTATATGGCTGTATTTTCCCAGAGTACGAAAATGCACCTTTAGTATCCTTATGTCCTTCATCCAAGCCTGCAAAAACCCTGTGGAAGATCCTCGGCTGAAGGGTGAAAGCTTGCCCACGGGGGGCTCCACCCGCAGCAGAGGTGCTGCCCTCAGCCCCTCTTCGAGGCACTTATGCATTGTGCTTCCTCCGGTCTGCCCCATAGGGAAAACCTGAGGCTCACTGGCAGAAAAAAATGACCTTGAACCCAGAACAGGACAGTCATTCTGTTTTTTAGTGTGCCATGTCAAATATTCTTTCTACTCACCCAGGAGACAGACCCAAGTTCTAGTACTATATATATACTGTCCATGACATGCTCAGGTTTTTTTTTTTTTTTTTATTCCTCTTCTTTCAGCCACACACACACACACACACTCACTCACTCACTCACACAGCCAGTGGGGCAGTGCATGTGGTTAACAGTAGGCTTTTATTCTTAGAAGGGCAGGCTGACCTCTCGGGGTTCATTAGAGACACAGAGTAAATGCTCAGGCTCCTCACTCTAGAACAGGACTCAATGTTCAAAGACAATGAGGAATTGCTTAAGACTAAGATTGCCTCCGCTGCTGAGCCAGGCAGAGAAGAGTGGGGCAGCATTCTTCCCGGAGAGGCTGGCACTGCTCCTGCTTTGCACAGAGCCCGGGCCTCTGTTTTCAAAGACAGCCTGGTTCCAGCCTGAGCTGCGGCCTGGCCAGGTGCAGCCTAGAGGAAGGGTCCCCTGTGTCATTAGAGAAACCACGCTGCAGAGGAATGGAAAAAGCCCTTTGCAATAACATGGGCAGAGCGGGGTGCAGGGGGAAGGGTGCGGCCTTGTTCTCTCTTTCCCAGGGAACAAAGGAGCAAGCCTGGTACCATCCTAGACCATTCTGCCACTTCCCCTGGGACAACTCACAGAGCCTCTCTGTACTTCCCCTCCCTCATCTATACACTGGCATAGGAACAGTCCCTCCATCACAGGTAAGTATGAGGATTCAAGGAAGCACATTTTCAAAGGGCTAAGGAAAAGTGCTTGAAGCACGGTGGACGCCTTCTCAGCGGCAGGCACTGTGATTAGGCACGAATCCCGCTGCTTTCCACTCAAGGGCAGCGTGAGGCGGAGCTGAGCCGCTGCACTCAAGCACCTGTCCTTGGACCCTGACAGCCCCTCACCCCGTTGGGCTGCCTTCGACTCCCACTCTCCATCCCGTCTGTTTCTTTGGGCCCAGTGGAAACAGCGCTGGTGGCTGAGTCAGCTGAGAGACATACATGTTCTCATTTTCCCAAAATCACTTACTGAAGCGAGCATCAAGGGAGGCATGGGCACAGCTGAAGAAGCTCCTGTCCACTTCAGGAGCACAGGTTTAGGTTCCTGAAACATTGTTTCGAAACAAACCCTGAACCTGCTTAATGATTAAAGCTGTGAGGGAGAGAATGGAGCCATTGAGACATTGCTCTTCCTGGCATTCAGAGTTCTTGATGCCTATAAATAAAGCAGGCACTCCCTGGGGAGATATGCCAATTATCTGCAACCTGCTTGCCGTGTGCTGTGATTACAGGGGAACTGAGCAGCCAGAGGTGTTGGGATCTGACACTGCAATGAAAGGTGTGTTCCTATACCTAAGGCTGAAGGCTTCAGTCCTGGAAAGTGTGTGAAGACTGTTTCTCTCCCCGAAGCCAAGAATCAAACCTAGCATGTCACAGAGGATGCTTTTCATGGCTTCTGGGACTGCTCCTGGCCACTTTACGGTAACAGTTGGAATGTTACAATATTGGCTTTTGGGATTATGTGGGAAAATAAGACAGAATAGCCGACCTGTCTGAAAAGTCAAAGCCCTCCCATTCAGTCGTTTGGCATGGAGGTAAAAGGCAGCACATAGAGAAGTATTTTTTTAAATGGATGCCCATAGTTGGCATTTATAAGGTCAGCCCTGTGACCCTATCTGGACTAAATAGCCCAAAGAAACTACAACCGGACTTTGTGTCACCATGATGATAGCCAGCACATTCGTGGTCATGGGTAAAATTGCCAGAGAAAGCCGCAACTCCCTAACTGTATCCCTAGTCTGTCCCTCAAATGGGAAAACCACATGTGGACCTGCCTACCTTTTCCTTTCCCCAAGTTCACAGAAAAGGATGGAGTTACCCTCTTGTGCACTCTTAAGGTCCTCAGTGTGTCTTTGGGTTTGAAGGAGAGTTGGAGGAGATGATGGCACCCCAGAGTGTTGCTAGAGGATCAGCCTAACGTAACAGTGGGTGATCTCGGGAGTCCAACTGCCTGGGTTCAAATCTCAGCTTCTCAGTTTACAGGCTGAGTGCCCTCTCTGAGCCTCAGTTTTAACATCATAAAACTGAAACAGCCATGAGGACGTAAGCAAAGAAGTCAGTCCATGCTAAGAACTCCATAACTATTAACTGTTGTTGCTAGAAAAGAAAAAAATGTGCCACTACCACTAAATTATAATTAGCACTTTTCCACTCCTCTCCTGAAGACCTTGAGAAGAATAAATATACAGAGCATTTTTCTAATATTAAATAATTTTCACATGTTAAAATATAAAATACGGAGAATTCATTTTTTTACAATAAGTTCCTGGGCTGGCTTTCAATGGGAGGAGAAGAGAGAGGATATTGCAGGCATTTGGAGAATAAACCAGGGGTTGGAAAATATATTTCTCTCCCTGTCTCTCTGACTTTTCAAATAAAATAATAAATAAATAAAGATAAATGTATCTAAGCTCAAAAAATTTTTAACTCCATGCATCAGAGGGGTCTTCAAAAAATTCATGGAGACTGCATATTATGAAAACACTGTGCATGGATTTGAAATTTTCTATGCACCAAAATAAGCTTAACTTTTAATTCCATTTTCCACCAGCTTTTAACGGTACCCTCACATACTTCAGTTATAAAATTGTGATCATTAGTATTGAATTCTCTGCTTTCTGGGTTTTTTGCTCTTTTGCTATGTGGACTTAAGATGTTATTATTTTTCAATTTATACAGTGAAGGAATGTGAACAAGATTTATCCTAAAGCCATTTCTTTTTTAACCTTTTATTATCTCATAAATTCCCAAAATATCAAACTCCATGTTACATTTTTAGCAATTAGTGAAAATAGTTTCTGAGAAGTCTAGAGGAGATTGTGTGTAATACAAAAATCATTTATTCCAACTACAGAGAGCCTTTTCATATTTTTGTAATCCACGAAGAAACCGTCTCTATCCTTCACGGGGTTTGCCAATAAGAAGTAATCATGACTAACAGAAGCCAGGAAGACAGCAGCAAGATTCTGGGAGGCGTAAGATGTGGGTCACAGTCCGAGAAGCAAATGCGTGCAGTCTCACTGAGCACAGAGAAACAAGTGGATTTCTTCTCGAATTTGCAACGCCTCCCTGCTCAGAGTCCAGGTGCTTTCTGACCTTCACATGATGCCACCCATGACAAGCTGCGGCAGCTCTTCATCTTCCTGGCCCAGCCTTCCCTCCCCTCCTTGCGTTCTCCATACACACATTCCATCATCTATTGCTACCCAGGACGGTGCAGGCAAAGTGGTCTAGGTCACGACAGTGGCTGCACATCTAGAGAAGCTGCTCCTCTGCACAGTGGATAAGCTCCTCCCTCTGGTTTCCCTCCCTGCACTAAGTTTCATGGTCTCCTTGGTTGTGATCTGAATATTCCACTTAACCCTTTGGCAAAGCCCTTTAATTTAAAAATGAAAGGAGGAGAATGTATCCATTTACAAAACACTGTATGGTGTGAATGTTCGCAAATTTTTAACCATCCTACACATGGAAGAACGTTCATGTTTTTGATTAAATTTATTCCTATGACAGGCAGAGAGACAGAGAAAGAGCTCTCATCCAATGGTTCACTCCCCAAATGCCAGTGACTGCCTTGGGGCTGAAGCCAGGAGCTACAAACTCAATTCAGATTTCCCACGCGGGCGGCAGGAATTTAATTATTTGAGCCATCATCACTGCTTCCCAGTGTCTGCGTTAGCAGGAAGCAGAATTCAAGGGCCAGAGCCAGGTATCTCAAATCTAGATTCTCCAGTATGGGACAGGGATGTCTTAAGGAACATCAGAACCACTATGCTAAAGGCCTGTCTCAGGAGATCTCTCTTGAAACTGGAAACAAGGATGAATTCAATATATCAGCTAAGATCCTCGATCCCTTTGGAGGCTATGACGTGCTGTTCCTGTTCAGAGTTCACAAGCAAGTAGGAGAGGAAAATTTAAAAAGAAGGAATAATTTTAATTGTTACTAATGTAACAAAAAAACACCTCCACCAGGACAATGTAATAAAATATATATACTTGCCAAAAGGTAATGCAAAGTGAGAAGGATTTAGAAGCAAAGTCAGTGTGCAACCCAGGGGTGATGGGTCTGCCCGGGCCTGACGAGGGGAAAGCTGGCCAGGAGAGGGAAGCCAGGCTCCTCGGGGAAGCAGGAAGAGGAGAACACCAGGGAAATATCAGAGGTGGCTACTTGCAAGTGGTGTGTCCAGAAGCCTTGCCTGCTTGGATTACGTTTCTTGCAGAAGAGCAGGACATGGTGATAAGAAAGTGGCTTTGAGACAAGTTGAAGAGACTAGGATCCAAAGTGTTGCTCTAATTTCATTCTCTCCAGCAATAAAAAATGTTTGCTAACCCCTCTGTGTATGCAGTGCTCTGCTGAGGATGGAGAAGAGCAGAAGAACAGGGAGGAAAGATCTAATTCAAGCCCAGGAGCTAGACACAAAAACAGGAAATGTGAACAATGCAAAATATACTACACAAAGCCTAAAAAAAGAAAAAGGGAAGGTGAGTTGGCAAATTAATTACTCCATCTGTAGAGGAAACAAGTTATTTTGTCTGCTAAATATGCTTTTCTTTCTTCTAAGAATAAGAGTCTTCCTTTCCATCTACATGCTGTTCCTCCCAGCTGTACAGTGGAATCTCACAGTGTCCATGGGAGCCACCATGGCCCACTTCTCTGGAATTGGCTGGTAAGGAGCAAGTGCCAGCAGCCCACAAGTCTCCTGGTCCCAGCTGCCACCTACAACTAACCACACGCTTTGTTTACCTCTTGGCTGTGTTTGCCAATCATTTATCAATAACATGAGTAGCTGGCTAATAATTCCCCCTTTGAGAAAACAGGTTCAAACTGGATGCCCATCCGTTGCAACTCAGAATCTCAGCAAACTCCCATGTTGTCCAAATCTGTCTTAACTATAATTGTTAGCCTTCTTTCCTATGCAGACAGTAGTACAAGGTGAGTAAAACCAGTTACAGTAACAGAGAAGCTCCAACTCTTCATTTCATGACACCTCACATGCTTATACATAAGTGGATGTGCTTTATAAAGGGCAGTAGCTACAAAGAACCCATCCACCATTGCCATGGGGTTCTATACTACACCCTCCATAGGCAGGAGCAGATGGTGTAAAGATGCCGCTTGCCTATCAACCTCCTGGGCCCAGAAGGGACCTCCAGAGGCCACCCAGACACAAGGGTTGGGCAGTATGATCCCAAGCTGGGCAGCCAGTGCCTGGCAACAGCTTGACCCTGAGTAAAGGAGATAGTAAACTGAAATAAAAACCAGCCACCTCTTCCACAGTGACAGCAACTAAAGCTGATTGAATTTACTTACCTTAAAGTGGATGGGAAAGTGGGGGGGGGAGACAGGAAGAGAAGTGAAAGGAAAAAGAAAAGAATCAGGTGAAAAGTCTTTGTGGTTTAAAGATGGGAACGGATGGCTTCAAGGGGCAGAGCTTGGGCACTAGCCTGTGTTTTGTTAATTCTGCACCACCCACTGGAAAACATCACAGAACACAAAAGTGAAACGCACAGGAGCTCTGCTGACCAGCTCAGCAAAACAGCAACACCTCTAACATGCCTTTTTAAAAGTTCTTCCAAGTTATTAACCTTGAGATCCAAACAGCAGAAGTCCAAGCTCGTGTCTCCGGCAGGTTTCCTTGTCCAAGCTCTCTCGCAGGAAGCAAGCATCACAGGCAAGTTCAGAGCCAGCTGCCAAAGGACTTTCCTTGAGGGCTGGAATCCCCAGGATGAAGAAGCCTTGGAAGAGCTGTTTTTTCTCCCGAACTCTCCCCCCTCCCTCTTGTGAGGACAATGAGGGAAAATGTACAACCCTTGGAACAAAGGAGAATATTTCAAAGCCTCTCTGGAGAGTATCCAAATGGGCTTAAATTAACTTTTTTCTCCAGAGAACATTCTAAGTCTGAAGTGTCATTGTATGAAAGCTGGATCATGAAATGTGATTCTGGAGCAGGTCCTGGGGCTCAGAGGAAGGGAGGAGAAAGGGGGAGGAGGGAGCATCTGAGCACAGGGTCAGACCCCCATCATGGAAGTCTCCAGAAATGGCTCAGACTATCAAGGCAAATTCTCTGGCAACAAAGGGAACTTTGGAAGGACAGGGGCCATATTTAATCCATCTTTGTATTTCCACTGCCTAGCATGGTACCAGACACCTAGCAAGCATTCAGTAAATATTTAGAGAATAAATAAATGAGTGGAGCCAGGATTTAGTTATTATATCTTGGATGCAAAGTGAGCAGTTGGCCTCAACAACAAAGAAGAAAAAATAACTTAGAAGCAGGGCACAAGATTGCAGCAAGTCAGACAAGACACAATCCATGCTGAGTGCCTTTAAATGCTTTTATTTGGAAACTGGAGTAGTCTCAGAATCAGTGGCAAAGAAGACCCACCAGGCAAAGTCAAAAAGATTTAGCTCTTTAGATGGGATATTGAATCAGTAAGCCAAGGAAGTTAATACTTATAAATCATTGTACAATCTAATCGGAAAAGGCCCAGTAGTAGTAAAAGATCTGTCTTCTTTCTTCATAAGCTTATCTACAATTATACTTTCAAAAGTTCATGGAAAACATACGCTATGAAAAAGTAAGGTCAATTGTAAATTATTTTTTTAATTTTTATTATTGATTTTCATTTTTCATTTGAAAGACAGATAGACAAAGAGAGATCCTCTGCCCACTAGTTCACTTCCCAAATATCTAAAACAGCCAGGGCTAGACCCAGCTGAAGCCATCAGCCAGGAACTCATCCATGCTCCCACGTGGGTGGCAGGGACCCAGCTACTTCAGTGTTCACCTGCTGCCTCCAAGGGCGCATTAGCAGGAAGCTGACTCAGATGTGGAGGAGCAGGGGTGCAAATCAGGCACTCCAATATGGCATGCAGGCCTCCCAGGGGTGACCTCATCACTGCACAGACACCTGCCCCTTCCTTTCAAAACCGCTGGCAGCAAAATAAACGTATCTTAGTAAAAGGTGAAAGACTTACACAATCCAAAAAGAATCCAGAGTATAATAAACTTATCTCTTAATTCCATTTTTGATGAAACTATGGAGTACCCCCCCAATCTTGCTGCAAAGCAGAACCAGCCTGGAGATGAACTGTGAAACAGGTCTCATTCCCGCTTTCATCACTCTCCTGTAGTCAGCAAACGCTTCACGTTTTACTCCCCAGCCCCTCACCCTTACTGCACAAGTCTTCCTAGAAGCGGCTTCAGACCTTCTCTCCCAAGCGGACCACCCTGAGTCTCCATCATGAGGCTTTGCTCTGCTCATGTGTTCATCGAGGGCATCCTGGTAAATGCAGGCAAAGCTTAGGCTTGTTTTGGGGGCCTTCTGGAGATGGGGTCTTTACCCATGGAGGCTGTCTAATTACAACACTTCCCAGAGAGGTAAGGCCGCTGGGAAGGAGAGCACTAACCGGCTGAACTTTTGCTGCCCTTTAAATCACACCGGGGAGGCAGCCACTCTTTCTGTCCGGATCCGGCAGCCTGGCTATCAAACCCTTTTAAGACAGCAACTGTCCTGGTTAAATTAACACTGAAAGATCTCTCCTGGCAAAACCGCAGACCCAGCCAGTCAGAAAGACAATGGTTTCATTAGTTGAGATCTTTTCAAAAGGATGCCTGAGTCATTTCCCTTTAGACCACTCTGACTCCCGTCCTTCTGGTTATCTCAAAGCACTTCTCATAAACTCACGGTTGAAAGCACCCAACAGTGGTTTTTGGTGTCCCTTCTATACGCTTCTGAAAAAAAAAATTCACCTAGGTAGTCTAAATCACAAAATGGAACTTTTGCTCCAAGGCTGTCACTGTAACCAAACCACACGTGTCCCCAGAGTTACTCATGGTTGAAGAAGGGACATCCCGCTACAATGCAACAGACAATTTTGGGGCATTTACATGCAAAAAGCACGACCCAAAGCCAGGCTGCCAAGTTAAAAGGTGAATGTTGGAGGCTTTTATGCAGGCCCTCTGTTTCCCCTACATTGCCTTTCCTATCACGACTACTTCTGCCTCCAATCTTTTCAGAAATAATATTAGGTATAAATTAATACATACAAATATATATTCATATATAAATACAAATATTTACATGTATACGTACTCTCATACATATGTAAAGTCACTATTTCTAAAAATGTTTCCCAAGAAGCTGCCTTTTAAAATGGTTTTCCTTCAAATTAATAAAATAGGTGATAGGGCTGGCGCTGTGTTGTAGTGGACTAGGCCTCTGCCTGCGGAGCCGCCATCCCATATGGGTACCAGTTCCTGCCTCTGCTGCTCCTTTTCTGATCTGGCTCTCTGCTATGCCCTGGGAAAGCAGTAGAAGATGGCTCAAATGCTTGGGTCCCTGCACCTGCATGGGAGACCTGGAGGAGGCTCCTGGCTCCTGGCCCCTGGCTTTGGATCGGCCCAGCTCCAGCCACTGCAGCCATTTGGGGAGTGAATCAGCAGAGGGAAGACCTCTCTCTCTGACTCTCCCTTTCTTCGTCTGTGACTCTACCTCTCAAATAAATAAATAAAATATTTTTTAAAAAATAGGTGATGCTCTGTAGTTGTAAATTATAATGGACTCACTGATTCAGCATACAGCTCTCTAGAAATTCAACTAAATACATCTTCTTTCTTGAAACGAACAATTATAACAGCACCAACAACAGACACTGGCATTATTGAGGAATGTACTTACACCAAGTTCATACACTTGATACATGAAGATGAATAAGGTCACCCCAGAGCCTACAGACCAGACATGACAGACATATTCAGAGATTTACCTGAAAGTAGCTGACTTGTCTGGTACCCGTGAAATCCCTGGATCAGCCTTAGCCAAGAGAAAAGAAGCAATTAGAGATACAATGAGCTGTACCCATGAAATAGACCCAGAGAAACCAGTGAGAGGACATGAGATGGCAGAATTGAAGACAGAAATCAAGCAGACAGGTACAGGCCCTTATGAGTGCTGACACCACAGGCTATCACCCTGGGACCCTACAGGTTACAACTAATAGTCAACCTGATGGTGCTGAGTCATAAGGAAAAGAAAGGTTAGGTCACATCTGATGGACTCTCTTCATTAAGACAGGGAGATGAGTAACGCGGCCTAGATAATTAACCATGAACAACGGCTTTCAGACAGCTTGGAAACATAAAATGTGCCTTTAAGAATCTAAACACTGAAGGTATTTTATTCTTCATTGTTAACGAAGGTATGAAATGTGTTTCAGTGAAGCAAGTACTGGACCTAAGAGGGTGAGAAACGATCAAAAGCCTGCTCTGCTACATTGTAGTCCACTTGTATTTCAAGTGCTAAGACTATTTTTTAACTTTAAAGACTTTTAAAAATAAGCAATAAGATAATCGTGTTCTCATTAATATATTAAAAGTTGAAGAATAATGCTCTGATAAACTTCTACATATTTATTCCAATTATTTGTTCCAGGATGAGAGACGCATCTAGTGGCTAAGGGGATACAACAATACAAAGTTTTTATCTTCCCAAAGAGCACCCTGCAGTCCCAGTGTAATTTTGCTTTTGTTAATGATCTGTGTAAAAACCCTTTGCTTGTCACTGAGATTCATGTGCATTCCAAGTCTACTGTGTTAATATAAAGCAGCAGTTGTATCACAAGCACTTCTACCCTCAAAAAATGCAAATTAGTCCAAGCCCATCCATGATCACCTGGACTCAGAATCTAGTTGTGAGAAAACAGGTAAGCACAAGATAACAGTAGTAAGTGCCAGGTTAGTGTTCCAAACCCAATGTTTGTTATCAGACTAATGGCTTTGTGGGGGCAGGGTTTACCTGTGTGTACCTGCGTATAGGCCTGAATGTACAATGCGTGGAGATGGATAGATACAGACAGATGTTTTGTCTCCAGTGACAAATATATGAAGACAAAAATATGGCATATAATTTGGGATTGTAGCATCTACTGTTACGCAAATCTGGTCTGGAAACTAGATTCTGCCATTCATCAGCCACACAGTCTTGAAGAAACAACTTGTCCTGTATCAGCTCCAGTTTTCACCTATAAAATAAAGGTAATAGCGGTGCCTAATTAAGAGCATTATTAAAGCTTTTCAAAATGCATTCAGCAAAGAGAATCAAGATGCATTCGTTATTTTATTATCGGTGAATCAGTGTCATTTAAAGTAGTCTATGCTCACCAAATATTCAGAATATTCTATTTTTCATTTTAAAATTAGGTCTAAAATGTTGTGTGCAAGAGTGTAAACAAGGAAGGGGTTGAGCAATGCAAATCTACAGGTACGGACACACGCAGGAAGAAAATACACAAGGAGGCCGGGGAAGAGCTCCAGCTTTTTGGGAAACAATTCTGAATGCCTAGATATTTTTAGATTATTTCTAAAATGGAAAACAGACAGACACACACACCAAAAGGCATAGAACAAACACCCAGAAATATTTTGCTTCGATTTTTACATGGGTTATTTTTACAGCCCTGTCTTGCTGTGTGGATTTCATTGTGAATGAAATGAATCCGTGATCCTGCTTCCATGGAGACCCGTTTCTTTGTGATTGGCTGAACCGTATCCAGGCGCTTCAACAATGCCCCAGAAAGTACAAGTACTGCTAATATTTAACAGATGCAGTAAAACCTACCAACCCCAGGGTGTTTGTTATGCAACTCACCATTAATAAAGCGATTCTGATCCATCTTCACATTTTCTCACCCTCTAAATATCCTTTCTCACCCTTTAAATATCCTTTTTTGTTTGTTTGTTTGCTTTTTCTTCTTAAAACATTACCTACAGAGAAAGGAGAGAATGGAGTTGGGGGAAGGGAGGCAGGACAGAGAGAAGTGGACATCAAACCTGGCAAGAGTGAGCAGATAAGACCCTGTCCTACCCGCAAGTGATACTGCCTCTGTTTTATTGATGTCAAGATAAAACAGGTTTCAGAAGAGAAAAGCAGTTTGCCCAAAAGAAATGTGTCTGCCATTTTATATTTCACCACAGTTAAGGAAGTCTCGTGTCACTTAAAACCATCTATAGAATCCTAAGTCTGCTGGTGAGGTTCTCCATACAAACGAAGTGGCCCAGAGGAGGCAGCGTGTATTTACCAATGTCCTTGGGAAACTGAGTGTTTTTGTCAGCATAGATGATTTGAAACTCCCAGTGTGCCTTGAAGGAAGACCATTCATACCCAAAAAAGTGTCAATTTGCAAAAGAGTTGAATTTCCAAGTAATCATTTTTTTCTACAATGCCTACACTGCCCGCATATTTGAGAAGTCTCCCTGGGTATTTAAAGTTTTACTTACATCCTATCATGAGCAAATCAAAAACTTAATAGGGGGCAAAAGCACGGAGAGGCAGTCAGGGTTTTAGCATGTGCATATATTAACATTCCACTTAGGATATTTTGATTTGAATATTGCATTCGAGATTATTTCAGTTACCCAATTCCTAATACAGCCAAAATTGGAAAGTATGCCCATAAATGTCTAGGTTAAAAACTTTAAAAAAGATAGGGTAAAAATTACTATCTTTTGAACTTATATATATAAATGACTCTATGCAGATGTCTTGATATCCTGTATCAATCCAGTGAAAATCACATTATGAAGTGCTACTGAGCACAATCTCTGGACTATATCTAAAGCTGATATTTGTTTGACAGCCCAGAAAGCTAGCTAACCATGTGCTCTCTGTAAATCATTAAACTAATAAAAAGTTGAATGACAAGATCTATACAAAACTATATACAAGGGAGTATCTTGGTTATGATGATGTAAATTTATAAAAGATCACAAAATCTTACATCAAAATATTAACCATGATTATATCTGGGGTCTTACATGTTTGTGTGGGCTTTTGTTTTTGTTTTTGTTTTTTACATATACTACTATATTCTCTCCACAATTTTCACACAAAATATTTGCAAATTTAATACTAACCGATAGAATAAAAAAGGGAGAGAATGATCCAACATGGGAAGCAAGATACACAGCAGACTCATAAAATGGCTGATGTCCTAAACAACACTCTGGCCTCAGAATCAGCCCTTAAGGCATGCGGATCTGGCTGAAAAGCCCATGAGAGTATTTCAGGCATGGAAAGCCAAGATCTCCACGAGTGAGATCCCAGTGGAAAGAACGGGGCCATCAAAGAAGGAGGAACCTTTTTCTGAAGGGAGGAGAGAACTTCCACTTTGACTATGACCTTGTCTAAATATGATCAGAGTTGGTGAACTCAAAAGGCTTCCATAGCCTTGGCAACTCATGACAAGAGCTTAGGATGATTACTGATGCCATAAACAAGAGTGTCAATTTGTTAAGTCAACAACAGGAGTCACTGTGCACTTACTCCTCATATAAAATCTCTGCCCTTAATGTGCTGTACATTGTGATTTAATGCTATAACTAGTACTGAAACAGTATTTTTCACTTTTTGTTTCTATGTGGGTGCAAACTGTTGAAATCTTTACTTAATATATGTTAAACTGATCTTCTGTATATAAAGAGAATTGAAAATGAATCTTGATGTGAATGGAAGGGGAGAGGGAGCGGGAGATGGGAGGGTTGCTGGTGGGAGGGAAGTTGGGGGGGTGAAGCCACTGTAATCCATAAGCTGAACTTTGGAAATTTATATTCATTAAATAAAAGTTAAAAAAAATTTGCAAATTTAAAATAAAAACATATATTTTAAAGAAGCTACCCGTGCTCTTCTAATTTTTCTTTGTAAAGACAATTAAACCTAAGATATATAAAAAAAACCTCACACATTTAAAAGTATTGCACACCCATTATCTTGTTCCAGACACACAATAGCCTGGGAGGAAGGTATTCCAGAGAGGGGAGTCTCACAGATAAGGAAAACGAAAGCCAGAGTTCAGCCAGCTTTGCTAGATGGAAGGAACACAAGATTCAAAGAAAAGAGAACACATCCCAGGTCCTGAGGTCCCCTATCTCCTAATGTTTAGATTCCATATGGATTATATTACACTGATAGTTTTCACATATTTTTAAACTAAGCTAAAAATCCATTTTCATGTCTTAACATTTTGTGTTTTGTTCCAGCATGTAAGGCAGTGTTAAGAATCATGATGATGTTTTTAAAAAGATTCATTAATTATCTTGCATCAATTATTTCCTCTTTGTGTTTTTAGCACTTATTTATCTTTGTAGCTAAACACACCTACTAAAGAATTGAAAGATATTATTTCAATCAAATTTTCTTTTAAATTATTTCCAAAGCTGAAATGTTGGAGATTTATATATATACTTTCCTAGTCATTCATGCAGTTTTAGGGAAGCAGGTATAAGATAATAACATATTAAGTATTCATTTAAGCAGTTGGTATAGATCTGTGCCTAGAAATGGACAACAGGGACTGACTTAATCTAATGCTCTAGGCTGTGTGTACAGAACAGAGAGGGAAGAGGAAGGCAAGTACCTTCTAATTCAGTCATTCTTCCCAGTCTAGTCCCAGAGGGAGATCAGCAGGCAGGACAATGGAGCTCCAAGAGACAATCCCAAGATGCATGGTGGATAAGAGAAAGATGGTAGCTGCAACACCCCATGTTCCAAGATAGAAGGGAAATTTCCCCAAAGTTTCAAAATGGCTTTGGCGGGCTGCTCGCTCATTGTAAGAGACTTGCATGAGCAGACTCAGTGCCTGCATAGAAAATCTAATTAAAAAAAAAAAAAAAAAGATGTTCCTTACCCCCAGCAGATGCGGTTGTGCACCTAAGTGTGTAGCTTGGTGAAGTGAATGTTGCATCATGCACTCACGCGGCTGGCCAGTAACCCTCACTCAGTCAGCAACCCCCACAACTGCATGCTACAGTCCTGCTCAAGAAATGGAAACACAGTCAAGTTGCATCTTCCGCGACCGAGAGGACATTTTTGATTCCTTGTTAACAAGGTGCACTTTGCTTGATAAGTACACATACACACATGCCTGATATATAGCAGAGAGGCAGAAATGATTTCTTCATAAGTGAATTGTTTCCCTAGCTAAGAGGAGAATGGATGGCTACCTTGTGATGTATTCAATGATTGAATGAGACAATACCTGTCAAACACAACGCCTCACACCAATCGTTCAGTAAAATATGGCCTCTCTGCCATTTTCCCTAACCAATACTACAACCATTTATACAGTATGCTGTTATGGGGATAATTTTTTAATCTTCTGCCTTAAATACAAAAACCTTCATATTTCCCACATAGGAAAAAACTTTTTCCCTACCATCCTCTCTCTACAGCCACTGCCACCCCCTCCTGAATTCCCCGCCACCATCCTCTACACCACATGCATTTTAGAGTAGCAGGCAGCATGCCATAGACACTGAACCCATCTGGAAGAACTGCAAATTAGTTTTGTGTGAAATGTTAGTGCAAAATTCAAAGCCAGCTCTGACTTTACATTTTATAATGAAACTAAAATTTGGCCCGTGTCTGCAAAAATTTTTGCCAGCATTTGCTATGGGCCTGTGAGTAAAAGATTCCAGATTTGTTGAGAGCCAGGCAGAAGTCTGGCATATCTCCCAATGTCACTTTGAACACTGACCCTGAAAAACATGAGCAGAAATTGATGCACAAGCCTGTGCAGGGAAAAAATGTGCCGAGTCATAGCTTTCAATGAACTTGGGTCACAGCCCTTCCCTCAGTTCTTCTATCTCTTCCAAATGAACTCCAGGGACAGAGGAGCTGTTTCTGAGTGTTCACCATGGCTTCTGGGGCAGCAGTGAGCTCTCCTCTTTCTTACAGCTTCCTAGTTGAAAAATTATAAATGCATGGAGAATTCACTGGCTGTAATGAGTTTTTTGACCAAATTAAAAGGTGATGGTAAGAAGGCAGCCATGCTCGTTTAGGTTTCCCAATTTGGGCACTGATTACCACACCAGCATCAAGTGACACTGTTTCCAAAAACCTTCTCCTTTTCCTAAGGCAGCTCCGGTCCTCTGAGAGATCTGAGTCCCAGAGTCTGACCAGTAGACAATCACCCCTGCAGGTTTTCCATTTTAACAGAACATCATGGAGCCCAGTGTTTCTGACCCAACATAAATTTAGCAGGGACAATTTCTAGCTGATGAAACTCAAGGCAGCCATCTAACATGTAGAATAAATGGGAATTTGTACAAATCAGCGAGTCTATTATTATGTATGTAAGCTCAAGAATAATGGAGGACATTATGCAGAGTGTAGGTCAAATATCAGAATTAAGTGACTGAAATCAGAATGCAAATGTATACAGAAACAACACAATGTACAGGTGTCTTAAAGCTATGAATACATAAAATCTATTCTTTTGAGGTTAAGAGCAAAGTGGAGAAAGAAAGCCATGATGGAAAGCGCATTAAGAATGTTCTCATTGGGTCCTCTGAGTTGTAAGGATTCCCTAGCTGAGCAGCTGAGCATAGCAGGTGGGACTCTATCCTCCGGACGTGGAACCCAGAGGAATCCAGGGCGCAGCTTTGCCTCTGTCCTTTGATTCTCACCTAACATTATGCTCCCTGCATCTGATGAACTGCTTGATACTCATAAAGGGTTGGACATGTGTGCCTCTTGGTAAACCACTGCAATCCTTGAATCTCATCTTCATCCATCCCCATAAGTCAATTAGTGGCCACTACTGAGATTTTTTTTCTTTTGAAAGAAATGCAAAAAGAAGTATATGAATAATGTTAATCAAATCCCCCCTCCTCTTTGAAGCTCTTTATTGGTTCTCACAACTTCTGATTCTTTATTTTTTTTTAACTTTTTATTTTTTTATTTTTTTTTTATTTTTGACAGGCAGAGTGGACAGTGAGAGAGAGAGACAGAGAGAAAGGTCTTCCTTTGCCGTTGGTTCACCCTCCAATGGCCGCCGCGGCCGGCGCGCTGCGGCCGGCGCACCGCGCTGATCCAATGGCAGGAGCCAGGAGCCAGGTGCTTTTCCTGGTCTCCCATGGGGTGCAGGGCCCAAGCACCTGGGCCATCCTCCACTGCACTCCCTGGCCACAGCAGAGGGCTGGCCTGGAAGAGGGGCAACCGGGACAGAATCCGGCACCCCGACCAGGACTAGAACCCGGTGTGCCGGCGCCGCTAGGTGGAGGATTAGCCTATTGAGCTGCGGCGCCGGCCCTTTTTTAACTTTTATTTAATGAATATAAATTTCCAAAGTACAACTTATGGATTACAATGGCTTCCCCCCAATACCGTCCCTCCCACCCACAACCTTCCCCTTTCCCACTCCCTCTCCCCTTCCATTCACATCAAGATTCATTTTCGATTATCTTCATATACAGAAGATCAGCTTAGTATACATTAAGTAAGGATTTCAACAGTTTGCTCCCACACAGAAACATAAAGTGAAAAATAATAGATGATTTTTTTAAATGATGATGAAATCAGATCAACTTCTGATTCTTTATTAGAGTTATTTGTACATGTCTCACTTCCCTTGCTATACACCATACACCCTAAGCACCAATTACAGGTCAATTCACAGCTTCATCATTCACAGATCCTAGTACAGCATCTTGAACAAATGAAACATTCCAGCATTTTATCATCTATTCACACTATAATATGCATTTTCATGAGTCTAAAACTGATATATACTTAAGAACACAATGACAACCATTTGAAATGCAGAAGAGACTAGCTTCAGCATCATTCTGCTTTCCCCTGAATGCATCTTGTACTTATTCATTCTGCAAGAGTAGATATAAGGCACTTAGCTCAGTTTCCCCAGGATGCAAAGGCAAAGGCAACATGGACTCTACCCACAAGAGTCCAGTTAACGATACAACAAAGTGAGAAAATTATTGCAGCAATGTCAAACAGGCAATTTTATGTCTAGAACATGTTAGACAAAGGGTGATCATATGACTCCAAGAGTCATCAATTGGCCTCCTCCTGTAAATTAAAAGACCATTTCTTTGGATTCCCACTAGAAATATAATCACAGAGATGAGGCTAGACATGTATTTGCTCTTCATGGTACAGGGATCCTGTCTCTCAATCTCAACACTGATTCCCACGCATGTGTCAAGTGCTCCATATTTGCTCTACAGGGATAAGTAGATTGGGACAGACAACTTTTGAGCTATAAGCTCTTTGACTAGGTAGTCTACAGAAGCATACATAGAGTTGGCATCTGCTTTTCTAGAAGATTCATCTTGCTTCACAGTTGGCCGCCTCAGAGTAATGAAGCCTCTCCCAGGAGGCAGGCAGACCCAAGTATGAACCGTTGTATCATCCGAGTTTCAAGAAAGAAGATCCACTGTAACATCAGCTCAGACAATGGAGCATTGTCTGAATTATTTGTGTATTATCCACAGGGCCTAGACAACGTTTGGCGCATAGGGAGACCTCAAGAAAATTTAAGTGAATGAAGGTAAATGCACCAGGAAATGACCTAGAGCAATGAATCTAAAGATGAAACAACAAACATAGACCAAAAGCCACAAAACATGAAAAGATTTTTTTTTTGCTATCTTTTTTCTTAGTATTGAGATTTTCACCATTTTCATGGTGAAAGGACCATGCTCAATATTTCCTTGGCTTTGACCCTTCCCCTTGGGGTGAGTGAAAAGAGGAGTCAGAGCTCTCTCTGGATATGAGAGCATGTGCAATACTTTTATTCTACTCGTATGCTCAGAGTATTGCTGGGAAGACAGTAGAGAACGGAAGAAAGCACTTACTTCATTGAGTCTTAAGGTCAAAGAAGGTTTCTTGGAAGTGGGGCCATTTGAGCTATTTACATTCCATGCAAACCACAAAGGCTGCCCTTCAAAAGAACTCTGATCTTGGACATAGAGAGAAAGTCAATGGGAGAGATAGCTTCACGCTTTCCCCTATTAAAGAGAAAGAAAGAAATAGCAACCACCAAATTATCACAAACATCAAACAATATTTCCTGGCAACATAACCCTGAACTTATTTTAAATGCTAGTAGTTTATTCAACAGTTCAAGAGGAAGAAAAAACTTAAGACATCAAATATGTCAGGGAACATGAATTGTGAATTTAACTACGGTATGTCTGTAGGTTTATGTGAGAGAAGCAATTGCACCTAGCTCCATATCTAACTCCATCTCAAAGCAAGAGCAAGACTTTGTGACCCGGATGCCTGAAGCTTGACTCACCCCAAGGAAAAGAATTTTCAGAAGCATTGTCTCCCAGAGGAGACAGCTGGATTGCTCAAGAGGAAAGCTCAAAGGTATCAGAAATTTCTAGAAGACATGACCCCTATCCCAGTGGATCTTAAGACTCTATCCTATGCAGAAATACCAATGAGATGACACAGAATCGGTCTAAACGCTATCCCCTGTAGTCCAGAAGAAGTTCATATCCCCATGGTCAAGTTGGACATGTAGGGTGTGGCCCAGATCCACCTCTTTCCAAGGAGCCACTTCAGCAGCAAGTCCAGAGGCCCTTCTTTATATTTTCTGGGAGGTATAAGACCTTCAGTTCCCTAGAATGGCCAAGGAAGTTGCAGGGCAAAAATTAAGACTAAATTGTCTCCCGACCTGGCAAGAGAGAGGAAGGAACAGAGCCAGATTCATTTGAACAGGAAGAAATATCCCTTCTAGCTCCCCAAATTAAGAAATAAATTCAGAACCATTTTACAAGTTTGACCAAAGTTCAAATTTTCCTTTTAAAAAATAAAATCAAGCCCTGAGATCTTCGTAAATGAACAGCAGAACTCCACATGCTGCAGGGTACCCATATTTACCTAACACAGAGCAGGTCAACTGGAAAACCAGATACGCTTGATAAAATTCACCGACTTCTAACCCTCCCAGAGCTGGAAGAATGTCTCTCTCAAGCAGTTTTGGTTACTGGCCTGAGGTGACCCAGGCCTTCCTCCCTTTAATAGCCATTTGAATCAGCGGGGAGGGGAGCTCACATACCAAAATCCTTTCCCTGGCCAATCAACCATTTCACTATAGAAACTGGAACAAAGCAGCTAATGTTGAAATGGAGCACACATTACAGGTCAATGTTTTCTTTTGTATTTTTTTTTTCAGAGAATCTCTTAACAATGTCTACAGCTGGCAAGAATTGAATCAGGACATTTCACTTTTCTAGATAGTGGACATCCACTGATTCTTGAATATTTCACAAAAGCAGAACTTCTAGCTTATTGTGTTGGAGAGGAAAAAAAACAGTTTTGAATCAAAACAGAGGAGAGACAGCAAAATGAATTCCAATGAAACATGCGTAAGCTAGCATAGCCAAATGGGTTTTCTTATGACTTATCAGCATTCAAAGGATGGGAGGAAAAATTAAAAGTATTCAGTTGTTAAATCAAGACTTCTCAGCTCCCCATCCTGCAGTCACTTTACTAAATGCCATTTCTCCACATTTCATAATTCTGACTTGACTGATCACTTGGTCACGTCAGCCCAAACTCATTAGGCCAATTAAATAGGAGCGTAGGTGGTAGAGAATCTCCTCATTTAGCTTTGGCAATGCCATCAGCAACTCGGCTTCTAGATCTTCAATGTCATCTTATTTCAAGAGGTGTGAGCATGCATGGGTGCTTTGACTTATTAAAGGGGACACGTTACCACTCAGAAGGACTTCTCAGGACACTGGAGGAAAAAATAAAATAAAATCCAGGGCAATCTGACAAAAATAGGATGCCTTGTCACCCAAACCCTGAGGCAGCTCACACACGGCGCTGTATTTTAAAACATGAAGAAAATAGACTCTGTCTTAACAGCCTGGTTCTGTTAGGAGAGAGACTCCCAGAGAGCCTGCCTTCCTGGCGAGTGTCCAGGGAGCAGCACTGCTCTGAGGAAGGCCCCGTGGATTTGCTGGCTTGGCAGCCATGTGTGGCTGTCTAGGGCACCCACTGAGGGGCAGGAGAGGGGCTGAGAGCCCAATATATGCGTGCTCATGGCCCAGGGTACCCTGGGAGCCATTTCCCTAGCTGGTAACAGCACAGATTTATGCCATTTCTCTGGAAGGGTGCATTTGCTTGGCTGTGAAAAGGTACCACATATGTAAACAGTTTGGTACCTGGGTAATAAACAGACCGGGTAACTGGTTATTGTCCAAAAATCAGACAATGCTGAGACAAGGAGGAAGCAACTTGAACTCATTTTGGCCACCTAAAGGGTTTCTGTCACAGACTGGACTATTGGAGCTTATGCAAAAAAGTCTACCAGAGGAGTAGGTACAGTGGCACAGTGGGTTAAACCACAACTTGAAGTACATACAATCCATATCCATATCCTGAGATCGAGTTCCACCTCCACTTCCAATCCAATTCCCTCCTGATGTACCTGGGAGGCAAAAGGTGATGGCCCAAGTACTTGGGTTTCTGCCACCCATGTGGGAGATTCAGATGGAGTTCTGGCTCTTACTGTAGGCATTTGGGAAGTGAACCAGTGGATGGAAGATTTCTCTCTCTCTCTCTCTCTCTCTCTCTCTCTCTCTCTGTGTGTGTGTGTGTGTCCCTTGCTCACTCTGACTTTCAAATAAATAAATAGATAAATACATCTTTGGAGGAAAAAACAAAGAAATCCACCAGAGATTTGTTCCCAGTGTGAGATTCCATAAAAACAGATAGGATAGGAAGGCACAGAAAAGAAGAAGCTGCTGTGTTTTATGTCTAGAAATGTTTCCATGTTTGAGTGCAGGGGTCGTGTCTGATTCACTTTTGGATTCTTAATACCATGCACTCAATATGTGTGGTAGGAATGCATTTAAATCCATTTCATTTTTTCAGCCTTTCTTGCCTTCAATAAAAGAGAGATGATTAAAATCTGTCTTTTTATGTCCACAGAATTCAACACTACATTAACTTAACAAATGAGGTTCCTTTGTGAAAAATTTTCAAAAGCTATTAAATGTTACCAGATTTTAGAGTTAAGAGAGTCTTAGTCAAACCCACTTATGTGCAAATGAAACAGCAGAGGTCCAGGGAGTCCCAGTGACCTGAAGGCCACACAACAAGTTGGAGACAAAGCCAGGGTAGAGCTGAGCCTTCCCACCCAAGGCCAGAGATTTTCATCAGTGCTTCTGTGACTTACAGAGCAGATGCTGTACCTCTAGCATAGGCTTTTCCCCTATCTTAGGTGCTGACAGCCTCCTACATACCAGCATTCTCAGATTATATTTGTGGCCCCATTGCAAGTGCCATTTCCATTTCTCCCTTTTTTTTCAGCTTAACAGTCTCTCCTTTTCTTTAAGATTTATTTATTTACTTGAAAGGCAGAGTTACAGAGAGAGAGGGAGAGACAGAGAGAGAGAGGTAGATCTTCCATCTACCTAGATGCCCACAAAGGCAGGGGCTGGGCCAGGTCAAAGCCAGGAGCCTGGAGAGTCATCTGGATCTCTCACATGGGTTGCAGGAGCCCAAGCACTTGGGCCATCTTCTGCTGCTTTCTCAGGTGCATTAGCAGGGAGGTGAATTCAAAGTGGAGCAGCTGGGACTCAAACCAGCACCATAAGAGATGCCATCATTGAAGGCAGTAGCTTCACCCAATGTGCCACAACACCAACCCCACTCCCATTTCTCTAGTGCTATCCCTTATATCCCCTAGTCAAGTATATATTCTTTTCCTCCACTGCACATTTCTAGACTTATAAATGGGTAACCAGGTATCAATTCTGCATAATCTACATATATGTGCCCCAGAGAAAATATCCACTAGATACCACTTTCAAATTCTTTGGGAAATGAGCCATGGAATAAAATAAATAAACTATTTCTGCAAGATTACAGAGCAGATAAATACTTCAGACAGCAGACTTAACACTAAGAAAATTAAAGCAAGCAGCCGTCAACCAGAACCCTCCCCCCACCCCCACCCCCACCCCCACAGAGTCAGAGAAGAGTGGTCTGGCAGAGTAAATAAACATCATAGATGAGCTATACTGAGGATGGGCACCACAAGGCAACCAGGATGAAACAGAAGAGTAACCTACAAGCAGTGCTTACTGACTGCCTAACGCCACTCTTCCAGAAAGCATCCCAGTGACAGTCATTAAACAAGGCAGACATCACCCAGAGAGAGCACTAGATTCAGGTCAACCTATGGACCGGCATTTCCAAAGATATTCATCTAGGGAGTAATTACAGATTTCCTAAACTTGATTTCTGGGAACAGGAGTTGCCCACGTGGTTGGTAACTCGATAGAGACAAATAGGTGAAGGCTGTTGTAACAGATGGAGCATTTTAGTTAAATAATAACAAGCCATTCATTCTTCAGGCAAAAGGAATCAGCTGACTGAATGTGGTAGAAAACTAAAAATTCAGAACCTCAGTGGCACTGGGTCACACAGGGATTTATGATGCAAGATGAACTTGAAAAATATAACAAAGAAATATCTGCAATGAACAACAGATTTATGGGCTTAATGTATAGCTCCATTTGCCCTAAAAAGCCTTCTGGGAATAGATTTTCACTGCATTTTAGACAGCATGATGTTTTTCTATCTCCTATATCTAGAAAGTTCAAACTGGACTAGCCAGCTATGAAAGAAAAGATAATTTTATTATACCTTGATAACTTTGTGTTTCTATTCAATATTTTCTCAACTGGGAATACCTAGTGCCTTGTGTTGGTCATCATTTCACATTTATTGAGCGACTTGGGCTCAAGACACCACACAGAAGATATAATGAAAACTAAATCAACAAAGTGGAGCCAAGAATACTGCAGTGAGTGAGCAATACCTATAAGAGGGAGCATTTCTATCAGTAGAATTCTAAGAAAAGATTATTTTTACAAATGTCTTGGGATTAGGAAAAAGAAAAAAAAGGAGGATATAAAAGAAACATTTGGAATCAGCTGTCTAGAGTTGAATGGATATGGCTTAAACTCTAAACCATACTATTGAACTTATAATAGTCAAGAATGTCAAGGGTAGGTGTGCCAGAAGTAACAAGTGGCTCCTTAAAGTTGGAGGGCTGGCGCTGTGGCATAGCAAGTAAAGCCACCGCCTGCAGTGCTGGCAACCCATATGGGCACCGGTTCAAGTCCCAGCTGTTCCATTTGTGATCCAGCCCTTTGCTATGGCCTGGAAAAGCAGTGGAACATGACCCAAGCTCTTAGGCCCCTGCACCCATGTGTGAGACCCATAAATCAGGAGTTCCTGGTTCCTGGCTTTGGATTGCTGTAGCTCTGGCCATTGCAGCCATCTGGGGAGTGAACCAGTGGGTGGAAGACCTCTCTCTCACTCTCTGCCTCTCTGTAATTCTGCCTTTCAAATGAAAAAATAACTCTTTTAAAAAAGTGAAGTTTGTTCTCAATTTCAGTAACAAAATCAGTAACATTAGGTTGGCTACTTACATAACTCAAAGTATAAAATAAATAACCAAGAGTACACGTTGATATTTTTAAGTGATTACATGAATAAATACATGGAGACTAGACAAGTCTCATGTGCACAAGAATTCTAAATAATTTGCATAGATACTTTGCCACTAAGGAGGCAAACCTTACTTTCTTGATCTTTAAGTGTGGGCTGAGTATAGTCACTTCTTTCCAAAGAGCACAGGAGGCAAAGGGAGAGAGAGGGTAACACTATCGTGGGGACATCAGGTGAACACTGGCTCAGCCAGGCTATCAAGGCAAACATAGACATTTCCACTGGCAGCAGTAGACACGATGATCTAAGCATAGCACTTTATCTCTATGATCTTCCTCCCAAAGTCCACATCCTCAAGCTAACCATGAAGAAAACATCAGACATGTCCCAGTTAGGAACATTCTACAAAATACCAGACCTGTGTTCCCCTAAAGTGTCAAAAACAAGGAACTACATCCCAGCCAAGAGGAATCCATGGAGACATGACCACTGAATGTAATGTGATGTCTTAGATGGGAGTCCAGAGGACAGAAAGGACATTAAGTAGAAACTAAGGAAACCTGAATAAAGAATGAGCTTTCCGGGGCCAACATGGTGGCGTGACAGGTAAAGGCCACTGTCTGTAATGCCAGCATCACATACGGGCATTGGTTTATGTCATGGCTGCTTCACTTCTGATCCAGGTCCCGGATAATGGCCTGGGAAAAGCAATGGACGATGGCCAAAGATACCACCCATGGTAGGGGACCCAGATGAAGCTCCTGGCTCCCGGCTTCAGCCTAGCCCAGCACTGGCCACTATGGCCATTTGAAGAGTGAAACAGCTGATGGAAGATCTCTCTCTCTCTCTCTCTCTCTCTCTCTGCAACTG